CTTAATCTTCGGCCATCGGCGTTATTACGCAAAATTGCCCCGTCACACACAAATCACATTAAATGCGGATTATTTCCCGTAGACGTCCCAAACGATTTCCCTTATCGTGACAAGGGTGAAAGGGTGAGAGACTTTTTATTAAAAACAAAGATGTCAACCCCCACATCCGACAGAAAATTCTTATCGATATCGTCGAAGGTCCGACCCTTGATTGATATACGAGCTATCGATGACATTTGTGGCCAGATTCATAATCATGTATTGTGTTCCCCGGATTGAAAATTCAATATCGGAGGGAATTTGAAACTGAAAATTACGCCGGGGATGGTTTCGCCGGAATATCAATGAGGTTATTTCGGCCACTTGTTACTTATTGTAAAATTTAATGGGAAAATGTGGCCTTCGGTGTTTGCGGGCTTGTATTCGCGTTTCTTATTGGGGAAAATTGGATTCGAACCACACACTGGTAGATTTACCCAAATTCACGTATAAAAATGAAGAAAAAAAAAAACATTCCTTCCAATTGTCCATAAATTTAAATTTGAGACAGAGGTAGATATATGTTCCGTCCTTCCTTTTTTCCGCAACCGACTGAAAAGGCAATTTGTGTATGTAACTCTCTTGAACTATGCCTGAAGTGTTTTAAGTCTCTGTTTAAAGAATCAACAAAGAGAATTTGGGACTTTTTGCGCATTCTTAATAAAAAATAAAAAACGTACAAATGCTACGGAATTAAAAAAAATGGAAGTTTTTAAACTTTTAGTTACATTAGATTACAAATTACAGAGGCTGAAGGCAAAATTAAGGAAATAACTGTTCATGTTCCCTTCAACTACTACCAAACGAAACCAAGTTTAAGGCAGACTTCATAAAAAATTTAAAAAAATCACATTTCTGTTGGACGTTCATAAAGTGAACGTTCCAAACGGTTTAACTTAATGCTGGGCAAATGAATTTGGAACTTTGAAAGATATAAGCAATAATTGTAGGATACTGGTAATTGAGGCAAAATTAAGCAAATCAGACTATAATTTAATAAGGACCTAGATTAAAGAGAAAGACAGTCACATACATACAAGCGAAGAATGACAGATATTTTAATGACTTCAAATACTTTAGCAGAAATACCGAAGCAGTCTGCTTCATCACACAAGATTCTGGTATACTTTGAACCCAGTGCCCATAAGACTTGGCATATCTCTTCCTCTCTTCGTTTGTGTCACTCCGTCAAACTCCAGTACCTTCACGAAACAACTGAGCTTATTTTATGGAATTACAAGTTTGTGAGGTCAAGCTTTACGAGTGTCGTTTGAGAAAAAACATATTGAGATTGTTCTTTTCCGACCGACAAGTAAAGATAACTTGAAATAGTTTTTTTGAGGGCGTTTTAAATTTAGTCTATAAGATGGACATGGAAAAAAGAGCATTTAGGAACAATTGAGTTCTCAAATGGGCCTCATTTTAGATCAACCTGAGCCTGGTTTTGGCAGTTCCAATGAAGGAAAATACGTAAATACGTAGTAGCAAAAGTTACCCAAATAAATATAAGAATTATTCACACATTCTACGTAGTATTACAAACCTTGGCATCAGGATTTAATATGTACGCAATCTATACATTAGACACTGCTAAATTATACCTATTTTTATGCCCCCAGTATCCTATGCCTACCACTGTTCACTCATGGTTCTGAAATCATCTTTTTTTATCAATAGGAATGGTATCTGAAGAAGTACAGAAAGCCCGGAATAAAGATATTAAGCAATATAGAGAATATTTTTCTGGAAAAACTCCTAGGAAGGATAATTTGAGAGATTTATTAATCGACTTCTTGTATCATCAAATCCTTTGATTTGAACTTTACATAAGTTACCAAAAAAAATCCTTTCTTTCATTACATTTGTTAGAATTTCCAAAATTTGAGAGTAATATTTTTGTCGATGAGTACTTCTGATGAAGAATAAGTTTAAGCAAATTTAGTGGTGTTTGAGAAATAAATCAAAAATTATACGTTATACAATACAATTGGGTGAAGATTTTTTACTTTAAAATGGCGGTTATTTGATTGCATTTATTTTTTAAAAATAATACTTACTTCTTTAACTAACCATCAAATCTACGAGTGTGGAATGGTACGGTCCTTTTTTTCAAACCCACCCGAGACGGTTAGGAATCAAGTAGGAACAACCTTCTGACGAAAAAAAAACGAAAGCCGGACGCGTGTTCTGATTAATAGGCCTGCAGAGGGGTACTTTAACCAGGTATTAGCATTGTCAGCAGACGCACGCACTACCGGTTCTTCACTAAAGTATCATCTGTTCATCTCAATTATTTTGCGTCACGATTTTTTATCACTGTCGGCGGACAAGATAGGTAACCTAAGGGCGCTGTGAATAATTAACTTGAGGGCAACACGCGACTATCTCCCTTTAATGTTAACCCTTCGATGGTATACCACGAAAAAAACTCGTAGTAGCGCGTGGCAATTGTTTTAAAGGAAGTCGAATCATTAGGTATGATCGGGAAGTAAAAATTAACAAGAATGAAGACGAAAAATGGCAAGTTGACGTAAAGGCAAAGGAACATTCATATTAATACTAAAACTTGGTCCAACAAATCTATAAAGGTATAAAGAAACAGAGGAAAGTAGCCTAATATCGGATTTCCACGGAAAACAGGACCCGACAGGTTCTGGCAAAATTACAAATTCCTACTTCGTGCTAGTTGTGACTGAAAGTTTGTGATATCAAAATTTTGCTGCTTTAGTGTAGTCATATACATGCAAACTGCCTTTATTCTTTCAAAAAACATTTAAAAGTTAGTGTTAGGTAAACACAGATTTAGAAAACGCGGCATTTTTCAGCTTAGTAGACATGATTTTGCTATTCACTTCAAGCGTGAAAGAACACTACTATTGCTTTAACCATATAATTTGACCGTAATACCATTGGCAAATAGCTTATCCAGTCCCAGCACAAATAAGAACCATGTAATATCTGCAGATATTAGTCATATGCCCAGTTGCTCTTACACGGATGCTAGTAAGAAACTAATAATAGGACTTCGATAAACGAACCAAAAGAGTTGAGAACAAAAAACGCAAAGGAAAGGGAATTCAGAATAAAGTTAAACGAGCTTCAACCACTTATAGTGAATAGATAGTGAGATAGAGGCGAGGAGTGCCTATAGAGCAACAACCTTCGGAAGACCTCAATGTTTCCGTTGGTGTTATGAAGAATGCGTGGGTACTGACATAAGCATCGCTTATTTGTGAACTTTTTATAAGACAATTTATGTGGGAACCCATTTTCGAGATTTTCCCAGTCGAGTGTTTCTTTTGAGATTCTGGAAAATCAGGGCAAATATAGGTTTTACCGATATGTAAAAGTTTTTATATTTTTTGTCAAATAAATTTTTAAAAAATCCAATTTTGGGCTTCCTAACTCTACCATAGCCTCAACAGTAGTAGGGATATAGCTGGGATATTTGATCCAGACCCAAAATTGGAAGGCCATATTCTATCGACTATTTTTAGATCATATTGATATTAAAAGGAAGAGAGTTAAAAATATTTGTGTACTGTTAATATTGAGAATTAAGATGGTTCTGCGGCATTCAGTATATTTCTTTCACAAGATAATTAAATTACAATGTCCACCCTATCTTCACGAAAAACAAACATCTAGTAGGGATATTTACAACATAAATACCCGCTCGTAACATTTGTTAACTGTGCCTAGTGACACAAAGAGTTCTTTGAAAAGTGTGCTTTTAAAATAAAATAAATGTAAATGTAAATCTTTAAGGCTTAATTGGCTTTAACAACAACCTTCCCTTGGAAGGAAGCTGCGTAAGAGACCATTATTCGTTCTGCGCGTAGTCACGCATTTGTACTGTCAAATTAACTGCTTTGTTGACCCTATTAAACATATATGATGGCTGATAGAAAAACTACAAATAAATGTTAATCAATTTTCATTGGAAATGCAACAATTCACTTACCTCCAAACACTGGCAATTTAAAAAAAGAGGAAAACTACACAATTAAATACACTTCTTGATAAAATGAAAATCCTTCAATCCCCAAAACTTCAAACTTCCAATAAATCCATAAGTTTCAATGGGTTGGAAAACTAGAGCAACGTGCATTTTCCTGAATGCACTTCCTTAGTTCATTTCATTGCTTAGTGGTGAACACTGTTTTTGACCCAGTAACGGATAATAACTGACTAGGTTTTACAGTTGGATACTGGACTATTATATAATTACATTATTTAATTTTGACCAATGGGACCTAGCAATTAATTATTTCATAATATCTATAGGTCTTTTTGTACTATTTATGTACTGTTTATTAAAAGTTCATAGTTGTTATGTTCATTTAAGCACAAAATAGCATTTCTCAGCAGAGGATGCTACGAATCATAATTAAAAGTTTAACCGGTGCCAATATTACACCAGAAGGCCTTTCTCATGTCACCGTGATCCAATTCATAAATCATTAATCGGGATTATTTGCAACGGAAGCGGGAGGGATCCAGAAGTTTTCGAAATTGTAATACCCAAGAACTTCAGATATAAGTTTTTTCATTCCCGAAAAAAATATATACACCATTCGAATTCATTCGCATTTTCTACCCACATCTGCCCACATCTTCAAGCGTTTACTAAATGTTAATGTATTACTAAATCCGAGTTTGTGGTAAATAGTGTACTTTCCAGCACAAAAAGTCGTTTGAAGTTCTTTTGTAGCTTTGATTATGTAATGCAGATGATACAGAGCTAAAGCAGCACCCAAGGGGTGAACTGCAGAGGTAAGTTGCAGTTGCAGGTGAGTTGGAAGTTTATAAAGGAATTACGTCGTACCACCTGGGGTTTTCCACTCGGTAGACTCGAAATCTATTTCACTTACAGCGTTCAGAAGATAAATTTAGTTTACTACGTGGACTAGAGTATTGGCAAAACAGCAATAGCAATTACTACTTCTATGAAAACTTACCGCTATGGGTGGTGTTGCTTTCAGCGTCAGCAAACTCAGTTCTGGATTTCTTGTGCGAGTTCTCCTCGGGCGATGACATCGTGTCGATCCTTTCCTGCTTGATGATCGGTTTGTGATCGTCTCCGTCATCGGTACTGGAAGACGTAGTCAGAGGCGTAGTCAATGGGGAGGACGCTCTCCGTTTTGGCGTCGAAGAAGCAGCACCGTCAACGCAGAGGTCGCTTGGTGCGGGCAAACGCGGACTTGCGGGTGGCGGTGTATGAACTCTGCTACCAGGGTTTTTCTTGCTGGTGATAGGGGCCGATATGCTCGGCCTTCGGCTGTTAATGGTAGACAGGGGTAGGTTTGCGTCATCGTTGTCCCTGTCGCGTTCAACATTGTTGAAACACTGGCCGAAATTTTCTTTGTTGCAGGTCTGGATTTTGTGCTGGATGAAGCGGACTATGTCGGAGAGGGCGAACGATTTTTGACAGATCCCGCAAGTGAGGATATCCTGGTGGCTGTCTCCTTCCGCCGCGTCTGCATCTGCTGCAACGAAACGGATAGTTAAAGTCTGTTCATAGATATAAGAAAGTGACTAACTGATACGAATTAAAGAAAGACAAGGGCGAGCTGTAAGAATGAAATATGGGCGAACAGGTCCGTACTTTGCTTAGAATGTATTTATTTGGGGTTTTGTTAGGAAAGATACTAAACAATATTTATTTATTTATGTATGTATTTATGTTTAAATCTAAAATAAAATTACAAAAATGTGATGACACTATATTCCGGGACATCATCTGTTCGATTGTTGAACTACTCTAGACTCGCATATATTTTGCATAATTCGCACACGATTCAACACACGCTGTATTACACACGAAATAAGAATGATTACTAATAAACCTAAACTAAGTAGTATACCAAACCAAAGAATATTAAACTTTAGGTAATAATCTTGTTGCATTGTATGTTAATGACCACCCTTGGATAATCCCATTCAAAAGCAATTGGTCACTTTCTTATATCTATGAACGACCATATCTTCTACCTAACTCAGGTGTCTTTCAGCACCAAGACTTAAGTTTATAAATCGGTAAAACCAAGGTTTGCTTTTGCTTTTAAATTATGAAGATTTCTTTCTAAAATTTACTAAACTTCTGGATAACTCGCTGACGTTGGCTTCTTCAGAACTTAACTGATGTCCATATTGGTGAGTCGCAGTTAGTTTTGGTCTTGGTTGCTTGCTTGATCGAAGATATAGAGATGAAGGACAACAGTGGCGAGTACGGGGTTGCTTTCGGACTCATTGTCTTTAGAACGTGAAGTAAATATTTTGTGATGAAACGCTTAATATCTCTAATGTGGAAATTATTAGAGAAAAGAGCAAATGTAAGGTGTTTTAATTTTGGGTTCAGCGACTCGGGTTGAGATAGCTTTATTAGTTTTGCATACAAGAGAGTTTATAATCGGTGATGTCACAGTGCATTGAGGTATCGACCTGTGTGCTGTGTGCTGGATATATTTATTTGTTGCTAATTCAACCATGAGGCCAAATAATAAAAGTATCGAACGCATCGCATATGCTTCAGTTAGGATAAGAAGGTTTGATTCCAGATTCTTGGATTTTAATATATCTGAAATAATCCTGCGGGTTTCAAGAAAAGGGGCTATAGTAAAAAGGGATTCTTCGTCGAAGCTAGAATATCCTGTGGACCTAATATAATGCTTTTTAGTTGTTCAATGAAGTGAAAGGAATTAAGTACGAAACTATTAATTTTCCCTGTAAAGGGTTTTAATAAGGAAGCTAGATATTTTGCTGGAGAATATGTTGGAGAACCAATGGTGCAGACAATAGGTCGAATCATGAGGGGCGACAAACTTCTTCCCGGATTCTGATAAAGAAGAAGGCTTAATAACAAATTTAAAGTTGCATTCCACAGATGACTCAGCACTTTTGAAAAGTTAAGATCTTCTCTATCTATTGAATACCATTAAAAATTAGCTTTTCTGCAGACGCACCATAGATCAATTATATAACGTAACTTACGCAAAAATATTGGTTTGGATAGGTATTTTTTATTTTAAGTATGGTCACGATGGCAGTTCCCTATACATCGTCAATGATTATCAGTAATTAAAATATACCGAAAGCACCCAAACCTGGGACTAAAGTACCGGAAAGGCCCGATGTGGCGAAGTGAAACTTTGCGCGCGTCGAGTCACTGCATTATTGGATATTTTACACCAGGAGGGGAAAAATGAATTATACAATACGAAGCATCTCGTAGGCAGCTAGCATTTCGATAGCCAATTTAAATTAGACAAAAAGTGTTTCTCAAACTTCGCAACCCACTAAATCTACCCAAAAAGATAAGCCGCTCATTATAATAGGACGTTTATCAAAGTTTTAATTAGACTGCTAATTATCTATAGACGATTTGTGAACTTATACAGGCGTAGTTACTAGCTGATCCTAAAATTAAAAGAGGTGTATTTTTTAGCAATATTTTCCCCCCTTCACTTACAAAAATTAGTGCACATGACATAAAATCTTGCGTAAAATGGAAAGGAAGATGGATGAGTGAGGCCTTTGTTGAAAGAGATAGATCGTCGAAATGGGAAGATAAATAAATGCACATTTGAATGTGAACCTTAGTCTATGGGATCTAAGTGATCCGTGGCGTAATACGCGGATTTTTATTTGGGAAGCACCAAATTAGGCAAAGTCAAAAACCATACTATTTTTCAAATTCAACATGTAACATTACTTTGAGGAGTTATTATGTGCAGGGTGTTCTTTAATAAGGGTCCAATATCTCAGTAGTAGTTTTAAACAAAATCTTATGATTATAAAGGTGAGATCTAAAATGCTTGTCTTTCCTGGGAGTTTTTTTGGCAAGAAATAATTGATTTTTTCCTAATTTATGTCTCCAAAGTGAAACAATTAAAAGTAGAAAAAAATGGGTACGTTTATGGCACAAATCATTTTGTTTATTTCGTCATATAAAATGTATCAACATAAATCAATCTTGATGTATACAGTTGACTGCCAGGTAATCAATATAAGTGAGATTTTTTTAATGACAAATAGTACATGTAGGTCATAATTTTACCCGATTTGTACTTTTTACATGAAAGTACAAACAGAAAGGACTGTCAAAGATTTGACTTCATGGTTCTTTTTCTCGCTGAAATCAAAATATTTCATGAACGTTGCTACTAGTTAAGAGGTAGCTTTAAAAGGTAGATTAAAGTGCACAAGTTACAAGTAATGGGGATGCCCCTCATTAGCTCCGCCCCCCTCAACCAATATATAAGCATGTACAGAGTAAAATGCGAGTCAGTTTCAGTCAAGCTCTGAAAAAGCCAACAGAAGTTTTGTAAAAAGTATTACAGTGGCTTGTGGAAGTTTGTTTGAAAAAAGAAAAACTTCTATATAAATTAATTAAGTTAAACTGGTTGAGTACGTTGGAGTGGGTTGAGTCGTAACTGACGGGTAGAAAAAAGTCCGTATCAATGGTGAAAACTCGGATATGCATTTCACTGTCAAAGATTTGACTTCATGGTTCTTTTTCTCGCTGAAATCAAAATATTTCATGAACGTTGCTACTAGTTAAGAGGTAGCTTTAAAAGGTAGATTAAAGTGCACAAGCTACAAGTAATGAGGATGCCCCTCATTAGCTCCGCCCCCTCAAACAATATATAAGCATGTACAGAGTAAAATGCGAGTCAGTTTCAGTCAAGCTCTGAAAAAGTCAACAGAAGTTTTGTAAAAAGTATTACAGTGGCTTGTGGAACTTTGTTTGAGAAAAGAAAAACTTCTATATAAATTAATTAAGTTAAACTGGTTGAGGACGTTGGAGTGGGTTGAGTCGTAACTGACGGGTAGAAAAAAGTCCGTATCAATGGTGAAAACTCGGATATGCATTTCACTGTCAAAGATTTGACTTCATGGTTCTTTTTCTCGCTGAAATCAAAATATTTCATGAACGTTGCTACTAGTTAAGAGGTAGCTTTAAAAGGTAGATTAAAGTGCACAAGCTACAAGTAATGAGGATGCCCCTCATTAGCTCCGCCCCCTCAAACAATATATAAGCATGTACAGAGTAAAATGCGAGTCAGTTTCAGTCAAGCTCTGAAAAAGTCAACAGAAGTTTTGTAAAAAGTATTACAGTGGCTTGTGGAACTTTGTTTGAGAAAAGAAAAACTTCTATATAAATTAATTAAGTTAAACTGGTTGAGGACGTTGGAGTGGGTTGAGTCGTAACTGACGGGTAGAAAAAAGTCCGTATCAATGGTGAAAACTCGGATATGCATTTCACTGTCAAAGATTTGACTTCATGGTTCTTTTTCTCGCTGAAATCAAAATATTTCATGAACGTTGCTACTAGTTAAGAGGTAGCTTTAAAAGGTAGATTAAAGTGCACAAGCTACAAGTAATGAGGATGCCCCTCATTAGCTCCGCCCCCTCAAACAATATATAAGCATGTACAGAGTAAAATGCGAGTCAGTTTCAGTCAACCTCTGAAAAAGTCAACAGAAGTTTTGTAAAAAGTATTACAGTGGCTTGTGGAACTTTGTTTGAGAAAAGAAAAACTTCTATATAAATTAATTAAGTTAAACTCGTTGAGGTCGTTGGAGTGGGTTGAGTCGTAACTGACGGGTAGAAAAAAGTCCGTATCAATGGTGAAAACTCGGATATGCATTTCACTGTCAAAGATTTGACTTCATGGTTCTTTTTCTCGCTGAAATCAAAATATTTCATGAACGTTGCTACTAGTTAAGAGGTAGCTTTAAAAGGTAGATTAAAGTGCACAAGCTACAAGTAATGAGGATGCCCCTCATTAGCTCCGCCCCCTCAAACAATATATAAGCATGTACAGAGTAAAATGCGAGTCAGTTTCAGTCAAGCTCTGAAAAAGTCAACAGAAGTTTTGTAAAAAGTATTACAGTGGCTTGTGGAACTTTGTTTGAGAAAAGAAAAACTTCTATATAAATTAATTAAGTTAAACTGGTTGAGGACGTTGGAGTGGGTTGAGTCGTAACTGACGGGTAGAAAAAAGTCCGTATCAATGGTGAAAACTCGGATATGCATTTCACTGTCAAAGATTTGACTTCATGGTTCTTTTTCTCGCTGAAATCAAAATATTTCATGAACGTTGCTACTAGTTAAGAGGTAGCTTTAAAAGGTAGATTAAAGTGCACAAGCTACAAGTAATGAGGATGCCCCTCATTAGCTCCGCCCCCTCAAACAATATATAAGCATGTACAGAGTAAAATGCGAGTCAGTTTCAGTCAAGCTCTGAAAAAGTCAACAGAAGTTTTGTAAAAAGTATTACAGTGGCTTGTGGAACTTTGTTTGAGAAAAGAAAAACTTCTATATAAATTAATTAAGTTAAACTGGTTGAGAACGTTGGAGTGGGTTGAGTCGTAACTGACGGGTAGAAAAAAGTCCGTATCAATGGTGAAAACTCGGATATGCATTTCACTGTCAAAGATTTGACTTCATGGTTCTTTTTCTCGCTGAAATCAAAATATTTCAT